TACCAAAGGGTTTGATCCCTTAATTTCATAGTAATTTAGATGAAATGAATGAAAGAGAAGAAATAATGTATTTCTATTTAAAAAAAACTTTTTGCTTTTAAAGACCCTGATGAATACAAACTAAACGGTAGGGCAAGGTCGATTATTGTAAGGTGTTGCATGGCGTATTGCAGCATTTGAGATGCTATACGATACTTGGAGTGGTTGATACGCCGCGGTGTATTCAACTATATATATTTCAGCTTAAAGGACTGACCGAAAGCATGAGGAAATGGAAAAGAGTGAATTTGAAAGGCCGCCAAATCAGGGACGATGTGTCAGTTTTTCAGATGTTCACTGCAAACTAATGATCAGAGAATAGGTAAAGATGTACATGATGTCAAATGTTGTAAATATAATACCTAACAGGCTAAAATTCATCTTTAAACTCAAATCATATTATAAACGCCGTTTTTTTAGAGGTTACCTTCTCTACAGCCATAGAATTCTGCTCGCAGGGAAATTAGCCCTTGCCATGAGACTGGGTTTATGCGGACGCACTTTGCAATGAATGGGATCTTAAGGTCATGACTAACGACTGTAAAACGATCAGTGTTCCCATTAAAAATCTGGAAATCAAATAAAAAAATACAAGTTCATTAACCTATTCTTAATTTTTAAAGCCTGATGTAACATCAATGACGAAGCAAATTCCCCCATCAGACACAAGAGTAACTTCCCTAAGACAAGGCACGGGTTCCTTGACTACATGAACAAGTTTGTTTCCCAATTGCCTGGTTGATATTGTCCTCAGAAACAGTTACAAACTTGTTCAACTTCCCTTGATCTATCTATCTAATTTCAGTCACTCTATTCATTTTGGTGGTCTTTTTTGCAGGGTAAGTCAAACCATAATTTCTATTCATGTAAGAGAATATGATTTTTTATTGATTCATATTATCGTTTCTGGTCCTTCTTATCTTCTCCTTTCGCAGATGACCACCAATGAAGCTTAACATCGACCGTCATTTCTTACATGCTTAATAGTCCAACTATTTTAAGGGCTTGACGACCGTTTTTTTTTCCTTGCAAGTATCGGTGACAATTCCTTAACAAAACTCCAAGATCACTGAAACCAGACAAGTGTTTTATTGCAAATTTATTGATTTCCCCGATGCTAAAACTCAAATAGGATTCTTATGTATAACCATGTCCCGTTCTCACCTTTTTGACGTTAGCCTCTTTGTAGTCTTCAAAGAAAACACACTCATTGCTGAAGGATAAACTGTATGTCTTCACCCACCAAGCGCCATCTTGCCTCCCCTGAGTTGCCACACCGGTAACCTTTGCAAAGTTACCAAAGTCAACTTGAAAATATTGAAATGGATCATTCTTTCCATTTTTCACGGCCCAGGCACCATACTGGCCGCTCTTTGCCTGGAAATGCAACCGTCCGTTTCTCGCACCCATGGAGTTGACATTGTAAGATGTAGAGGCACTGAGAGCTGAGTCCGGAATTTGATAATTCTGCAATCCTAGAATTTTCTTACATTCTTCGGCAGGGCCTGGATTAAAACCTGTAAGACGAGTAAAAAATATAGTCAGCAGAAGGAGAAATTCGTTTTTAATCGCATTTTACTCTGCTCTGCGCTTCACAGTTAAGTACATTTAGTTCCTGCTTTTACTCGGCGAAAGGGATTGTTTTCAAATGGAGGGACAGGCTCTCCACTCAGTAATCAGTATTATATTTGCGATATTTAGACAGGCTAGCCCAGTTCAGCTTAAAACTGTTTGAATGGAGGCCAGTACAAACAACAACAAGGCCAGACCACAACTCCGGGAGCTACGTTCTCTACACTTTTCGAGAAGTGCGTAGGTTCTTTAACGTTCCCTTCTAACCAGGACAGTCGGTAATGATAAGGTGATAAGAAGCCTACCTTCCCTGCAGCCAAATAATTCCACTCTCATGCAGATGTGTCCATACCAAGTCATGGGATGGATTCGCACGTACCGCGCTATTATTGGCTCATCCAGAATTCGACCTTCTGCTGTATTCCTGTCGCTATTTCCTATGATCACCTTTGAATACGACACCTTCATATAAGATTCCTTATTTTGATTAAACGAAACGCTATCGTAAATTTGATCAGCGCAGATTATTGAAAAAGTTTTGTTTGTTCGTTTGTTATGTTTTTTTTTTGTTTTTTTCTCAAATCGATGGTATCAGATTGCGTTTTAGTTTCCCAGGGAGCTTGAGAACATGAAGATTATGGATCCGGTGAGGCCTGTTGCAGCGCCAGTTTGAGTTAGCGGGCTCTACTATATTTTTAAGAACAAATGATTTTCAAGACTACAGTAGAATCCCACTAACTTGAACTCGGTTAACTTAACGCCCTGGTAATGTAAAAAAGATCCGATTTCCCTAGGTCCCATCTTTTCAGATAATTGCGATCATCCAACTCGAAACCCCTCCTAACTCGAACCATTTTTTGTTTCGCATGGGAGTTCGAGTTAGCGTGGTTCTACCGTGTAAGTTTCAATAAAAATCAATTGCCTTCATTCTTCTTAACACAAGATAACAGTAACGCTTCGTATTGAACTGTTAATCACGTATCAAGAACATTTAACACACCTCGCCGTTTTTGTAAGACTTAAATTGTCCTCCATCACTGTAGGTCAAGGTATACTTCGTAACCCACCAGTTAGCATCATATCTTCCTTGGGTCGCGATTTGTGTGACCTTTGTGATCTTCCCTAAGTCTATCTCAAGCCATTGACCTACGTCGCCGTGCTTTGAGGCCCAACCACCATAATAGCTTCCCTCCTGTTTCTTATTTAACCTGCTTCTTTCAGGTCCAAAGTATTGGTTATAGACAGACGAAGATTTCAAGGCAGAATTGGGAATAATGTTGCTTTCCATACCGAGAGGTGATGCACAAACTATTTTTGGGGGATCGAATCCTACGAGAGAAACAGAAAGGAATTTATATTTCTTTTCCATATAAAGCAAGCTTTAAGATTTAGTTATCTTCCACAAGGCGATGTGAATCTCATCCACAGTATATTTAAATGATAGTTCAAGGCCCAGTTGTTCAAAGGGCCGATAACGCTATGCAACAGAAAAATCACTATTCGGCGGATGAGTGTTAGCAAAACATACTGCGCTGTCTACAGGATTGCAATATATCCAGCCGGTGGATGGCATTATCCACCCTGCGAACAACCAAGGTCATTTTTGTCAGGCTATAAGGTTATCGTTCACTCGCTAGTGATTGCCTCTTTCAAATGTCTCATTGACGACCAGTAGCAAATAAGTGTGATTAGTGAGACAATGAAATTAAAGAAACACTCGGATAATCAAACGAATACTTAGGCCCCGTCCACACTTGTACGATGAATCGATTTGAAAACGATTACTTTTAAACGATAACCCGACTGCGCATCGTTGACGTATGTGTATTCGTTATTATGAGCCCGCGTAATGGATTGCGACGGAAAGTGTTACGTCAGCGTTTTCGAAAAATTCCGTTTTCGTTTGTCCACGCGTACACACGAAAACAGCGTTTTCAAAATATTCAACTCTGGAGAGCGTTTTTGAAAAGTTCTGTTTTCAATGAACGTTTTCATCGGATAGTGTGGACGGGGCGTTAGTTCATTCACCTTTACTGCAGCCATAAAACTCTGTTCTCATAGAGATGTGTCCATTCCATTCTTCAGGATGAATCCGAATGTACCGGGTTATAACTGGTCTGTACAAGGTGTTTCTCACAACTGTATATCGGTCCAAGTTACCTTTAAAAATCTGTGCAATAAAATTGCCATTACGGATTTCAAAACATATTTAACCTATTCTTCAGTGTTTGTAATTACTTTAGGAAGAAGAGCAAGCGTACAATTAGAAGCATAAATGACAGCAGTTCTCGATATCCAAATTTCTCCTTTTTTTTTTTTTTTTTCTTTTTAAAGAAGATATAAGTGGGATTTGTATGATCGCCAGCTAAAACTGACGACATTTTGATGGAGTCCTGGTGCTTCGCCACTGTTTCAAACACCTTTAATTGAAGAATTTTTTTAAAAAAAATTCCGAATAACTCATTTATTTTAACCATTTGGCATTTCGTTTCGTCTAAGTACATCGCCGTTTGTCTAGAAATGTGATAGAAGTAGACCATTAATAAATGTGCGTGTGCGCTGAGTTTCTAACGAAAGTATAAACGTTTATTCACCTTTTCAGTGAACACTTCCACGTCAACAGATTACAGGGTGTAATAGGATTGCCATGACACTGACTCGACGAAAGCGTAAGGATAGCATTATTAGCTAGATTGCTTCCAGTTGACTACAAGGGTTACCTGCACCTTAAACTCGTATGGCTGCGTTCTATTCGATTATTTGATAAGTGCAAATGTAATTAGGTGAAGCTTCACGGGTTTATCAACAATATAACAATACTATCCTGTTTCCAAGAAAAAAGAACTAGAAAGAAGCTCCACCAGAAGCCGGAGAGGGCCTGCTATGTTGCTCTGACGTGGGCACGCATGTCTCTACTAATAACATACCTGTTTTGAGCCATGCTCGTTGTTTACAACTTCCCAAAATACAGAATCATAGCTGAAAGACAGGCTATACAGCTTAACCCACTGATTGGAGTCCTGTCTTCCCTGTGTAGCAACAGCTGTGATTTTTCTCCAGTCTCCAAAATCAACCTGCAACCACTGCAGTAAATTGTTGGCTCCGGCAGCCCAGCTGCCATATTTTCCGCTGCCAGAACTAAGAAAATGAAGGCGGCCAATGGAAGGAGCATAGCTGTTAACGTTGGCTGAGGAAGATGCTGAGATAGCGGAGTCTGGTATCTCACCACTTTCCATACCCAAGGCCTCCATGCATTGTGGTGGTTTTGGGACTGAATCACCTACACGAGCACAACGTAAGTTGCTTGTTTCAACGAAGAGGGGTACAAATAAACTTAATAACTTAATAACTATCAGATATTATTGCATACACTGAGTAACTGCCTTAGAAAAGACAGTAAGAATTAATGTCATGAAAGTCATGATGGTTTACATTGTCGTTGGAAGTATTCAACTAAAAGTGCTTCAACTAAAATTATTATAATTGTTAGTCAACAGCGTTGTAATATATCACCTAAAGGGTGGAAGAGGGACCGTGAGGGGGTTTTTCGTGAAACGTGATCGGCTGTTTTAATTGACGTGATTGGTGATTGTATAAAGTTAAAAGTCGTGAACTGTGAAAGATATGCCAGTCGTGAGAAGTGAGGAAAAGAAATTATTTTACGTCATCCATTTTTTTCCGTGAAAGATTACTCGCCGAAGACTTACGTCTACAAAGCAACGCGAAACTCTCCGGGCGTTGTTAGTGTGACTTACTTATTCTAGATCTTGCGTGACAACTGATAAGGGTATGAATCAGTTTAGTTCTTTGATCTTCTTTTTGCAAAAAGGCGCCATCGCGTGAAGAAAAACATTGCAACTGACGCTTGGCGTGAAAAGAGGAAGAAATTCACGGAAAATCCTTTTTCGTTATCATGTTATTTAGCGTGAAGCGTGAAATGAGAATATTGATTACCGTGATTCGTTATTTGTTATATTCAATAGTCGTAATATAAATCGTGAGAAGGACCCCCCTTACGGCCCCTCGTGGAAGGCTGATGCGATGAATATTAAACGAGCATTAGAATTCCCTTTTTCCTATGTTATCCATGGTCAGAGTATGAAATTTGCAAGCTACCTTTCTCGCTAAGAAAAACACACTCAAAAAAACGGCTGGAAAACACCTTTACCTTTACTTAAGTAGTTTGCAAAGTAAGTAGTAAATATGCCAGCTAAGTAAAGGTTGCGTCACGCCTCAACTCCTCCCTCACGCCTTCGCCCCACCCTCCCCCCCTTGCCTCCTTTCTCTGAATCCCCCCAGAACACATGCAATCTCTCTCAGTCTACCAGGAAATCCTCCACCCAATTTTCCCATAATTTATGTAGCAAGGCTTATTTGGCCTTGTGTGGTGCTGGCATACCTTGTGAGATTGTACTTCCATATAATTTGACTTTCTTCTCAAAAGGCAAATGGTTTAAGACTTTAAACGCCAAAGCGCTTTAAAGCTCCATATCATATGAATCTAAATTAACTTATCATGTGTTCGTAACAGATATTAGAGCATTGATGAGGAGAACAGAAGCCAAAATACCATCGACAGTGCATCCATATAACTCCACCCTCATCGAGGGGTATCCTTGAAATGTTTTGATATTGATTTTGATGTATCGAGCGATGATGGGTGGGTCGATAATCCGGCCAACAGCAGTCTTGTAGTCGAAGTTGCCATGGAAAACCTAAAAAAAATGTGAAAGTTGATGTTACTACATATACGTCAGTGTTATAAAACTTTTCGTCATATATCTGTTATAACAACCTACCCTCTAATTTTCGCGTGATTCTGTTGACTACTTTACGTCACGTGGTGGAAAATCACCATACAGCCTGTACGGTTTTCACCTAATCATCCCCGTCTGCGTCAATATTTATCCTTCAATATTCCGCCCAAAAGAGATAAAGGAAGCGGAAGAGAGACAGCTCAAAATTTTCATCTTTTCATCTCTATCATTCTTAGACGGAAGAAAAACAAACTCGTTTTGAAAAGGGGGGTAAGTTTTTAAAGAGACTGTGGTGCTGCGTCGGTGGGGGTAACAAGGTGATTTGGTAATATCGACTAAGTTGAAATTGTATATTGGCCAACGTGAAGAGTTAAAAAGCTGACGTTTCGAGCTCTGACGAAGGGCTAACGCTAGAAACGTCAGCTTTTTAACTCTTCGCGGTGGCAATTTACAATTTCAACTTAGTTGATATTACCAAATTACCTCGTTTTGAAGAGTCCAGTGATGGTGAAATTTAAATGCTGGTCGCGAATAAGCATCTGCCATAAGATCAACACTAGATTTTCACAAGGGTTTTTGCGCGATATGAAAATTAATTGAAAGGTTATAAAATGAAAAAACCCCATCGGGCTGAGAAATTTTCACATTTTTTCTCGAAGCTTCACCTCTCGACAAAAACTTCAGCCGTGGATATTATCAGCCGACATACCAGCCGCCGAAACTGAGGGATTTTTATACTAAATATCTTTCTGTTTTGAACGTCTGTCCTAAATGTAAGCATTAACACGTTTAATTTTACGATTACAATCCAAAATCTTAATTGCTTGTTGAAAGGATGATTCTACGATCTCTTAATTATTCAGACAGAGCTAATAAGACTATTTCATTTGAGAGAAATGGTAAAGATGAATATGGTATATTCTGTTGACCTGGCCCCGATCATAAAAAGCACGGGTGATTTCATCCAATGAACAAGCCCGACCAGTGAATAAAATGGCTATTCACAGAACAGTAACCCAGCGGTGAAAGGTTGTCGTTAGAAGTCTAGATGGTTACGCGAAAAAAACACATGATGGATAAACTGCTATTCAGACAGCAGCATGAATAGCGGTTTATCAACAGAAGCTGCTTCAAAGAATAACGACATACCTCATTCCCACTAATGTATGGTACAAATGTTCCTCCATGAACACTGTATTCCAAGGTATAGGTCTTTGACCACCAACCTGCGTCATAGCGCCCTTGTGTAGCGATCCCGGTCACTTTGGTTACCCTTTGCAAGTCAATCTGCAGGAACTGCTTATCGTCTTGGTATTGGGAGATCCAGCCTCCATGGAAGCTACCTAATTAATGATATCAATGATTTGTAATAATCAGAACTGCTAATTTACACCCGTTTACATTATTAGCGTTAATGTTCCTTTGCCATGATCAACGCTGCCAGCTTGCCACAAAAATAGTTCATGTGTTGGGACGCTGGCCATCTTATTTCCTCTACACTGTACTTTCTGTGTTTTGTGTGTGTTTTTTGTTTTTTCTTCTTTTTTAAAGGCCACTAGTGACACTAGAAAACCATAGCTATTTAAAAAATTCCTTACCCTCTTTTTTCTCGTTCAGTCTTCCGCGCTCAGGTCCCCACCACTGGTTGTAACGTGATGATGCTACAATAGCTGAATCTGGAATCGCGCCATTTTCCATTCCCCGAGCCGAAAAACATTCGATCTTAGGGGGTTCAACGCCTGTTTTTAATTTTTTTTTTTTTTTAATGAAAAAGAGAGTTTTTATTCTATATGCTGAGAATGTTAAAAGTCTGTAACCTGGTTATTTAACAATTATTGGATGAGGTTGAGCATGATAGCGATAATTATCAAGGCCAAAGTTTTGTGTTATGAGGCCTTGATAACTGTCGCTATCATGCGGAAACCGAATCCAATAATTGTTTTATTATGTATATTCCTGAGCGCAATAAAACTATTGTCTGTAGGTCCTGAAGTCACTTCTACATGTAAAAAATCTATTTTCTGTAGGTATGACGTAAGTAAATGTATAATAATAGCTCTTAGATTGATCTTCAAACACCTTAGATGCCTTTAGACAGCTTACAAATCCAAGTTATCTTCAACCCGGTTAGGAATTCAAAGATGATGATTTGGTGGATGACTCAAAGTCGTATTTGGTGATAATCGATGGCTGTAAAAATACTCGTATGTAAGTCCGTTACATGCGTCTGAATTAAATAACATGGCATTATTACTATTGTAAGCTACTGCCTCTAATTAAGTTCATCATGCAGCCGTTAATTTCTTTCCAACCTCATTTCGTGCTTATCAGCATTTATGAAGCAGTCTAAAATTACTATATACAGAAACGAGATATTCCGCTACCAATTCAATCCTACAAGCCTGTTTCTTGATTGCTCACTCATCAGGGGATTTTATTTTATTTTATGGAGGGACAAAAACGTAGTCGTCGTATTTTTCTACTTAACATCTATTGCGTTCTACTTTTAAGTACAGTATCCAGCACTGTTACACGGAAAAACCGAAACACAGACTTCCTATATACATATGATCTGACCCAATTTGCTATTCTATAAGTATACAGATTCCGGAAAAATTAGATTCTGCAAACTTATCAATGTTGTCAGTCTGATACCTTCATTTAAATTTGCATTTTTTATTTTTGTGACTTAGTGGATTAAATCGTGTTCATTTTCCTAACCCCTCTCGCTTTGAATAATAGGAACGACTCATTACCTTCACTGCAGCCGTAAAATTCAGTTCTCATGGACACATGTCCATACCATTCTTCGGGATAAATTCGGATGTAACGGGTTACAACTGGTCGGTCCACTAAGTTTCTCACAACTGTGTATCGGTCAGAGTTGCCATTAAAAACCTGTGGAAAATAACAAGCCTTTTTAGCCTTTCGCAGCTGGGATTTTACATATACATCTTGAAAGCAATTTCCGCGCAATTATTTGTTGTAAGACCTGATTTAAGTTCCCCAAGGGAGCTTGTGTTAGGCCTGAAATATACATAATTGTTAGATCAATGACAGTGTCTGAGGACTGCACACTCACCCTTCCCCTAATCCATCAACAGGAAAATGATAAATGCTTAGGGGTAATTAGTGCTTGCTTAGGCCGGAAGGGTAGGTGCGCAAATGCACAGATTTGGACCTGGATCCGAATTGTTTCCAAGGAAAACATGATGGCGAACATCAGATCCTTGCTTCAATTTCAAATTATCCATGAATGCTGTGATAAGGGACCGATCATTTAAGTTTTGAGGGGGGGTGGGTGATTTCTGGTCATCAAGAAATTTTTTTTCTAGCAATCTGCTGGGCAGGATAATTTTCCGTTCTAAATGCTCTCTTAATCTGTTACATTTGGGCTGCATGCTATTTTTTTCTTCCAAAAAGCACTTGCAGGAAATTTTTTTTCAAAATCACCCACCCACTCCCCCCCTCAAAAGTTAAATGGTCGGCCCATAGATGACCTATTGATAATAAGTGAGGAAATTTGAACCGCACAGGAAAAATTCCATAAAGCAACTCCAGAGAGTAAAGCGTTGAATTCAGGCTCGGTGACAGGGACTAACGCCTGTCACTAACTATACCCCTTCCCCCTTCCCCCAGAAAAAAAAATCGCTTGCTTTACGTAATTGAAAAGCTATCGCTTTCATTTCATCTCATTGATTTTGACATTTCGAATGAAACAGATCGAATCAAATAAAGTCTGGTTACGTAATTGTTCGTTTAAGATAACCAACCATTTTAATACCTGTTTTGAGCCATCTTCATTTTTAACCGTTGCCCAAAATACTTCATTATAACTGTACGAAAGGCTGTACTTTTTAACCCACTGATTGTAGTCCTGTCTTCCTTGTGTGGCGACAGCTGTAACTCTTGTCCAACGTCCAAAATCAACCTGGAACCATTGGTTTACATTGTTGGCTCCGGCAGCCCAGCTGCCATATTTTCCGCTGCCAGCACTAAGAAAGTGAAGGCGGCCAACAGAAGGAGCATAGCTGTTAACGTTGGCCGAGCTAAATGCAGAGATAGCGGAGTCTGGTATATTGCCGTTTTCCATGCCCAAGGCATTCATACACTGGGGTGACTTCGGGACGGAGAAACCTAAATAACAATGTGTAAAACACATGTGAGAAAATGGATCTCTGAAACTTTGATCATTATACCGGCGTCTGATTTGACGAGAAAAAATGGCACAACTATGTCAAATAAAGAAAAATTTTGGGCAGGGATCTGTCATCTACGTGCTTTCTCGATTAGTCAGAAACACAGTCAGGTGTTTTACCAACTGAGTTGCTGAGAAACCGTCAGTGAACTGGCGGTTACAATATTGGGCCATCTAAAACTTTTAAAAAAGAGAGCGAGCGTGTTCGTCAAGCTAGAATTATTTTAAGGAATTTCAAGTAATGAGCGCCCTTCACTTCCACGTAAATAAGGAAAGAACGAAAGCTATTGGACAGCCAAAAGCCATAATAGAAGTACGAGCGTAGACTAGCAAAGTAGGGCAAGTTTAAACCAACAAACATTTTCGAAAACTGAAAACTCGTCCGACACTTAAAACCAGACTTGATAAGCAAGTTGGAAGGGCAGGTCAGAAATCTGCTTGTAAATCAGTGACTAGACGATATTGAAAATTTGTCTTTGGCGCGTTTGGAAAGCGTGCCATGGACAGTCATTCGTGATAATTCACATACCTTCGGTGCATCCATATAATTCCACTCTCAATGACGGATAACCAACGAATTCATTGACGTTGATTTTGATGAAACGAGCCACAATGGGTGGGTCAAGGTAATGGCCTACTGCAGAAGTATAGTCAATATTTCCTTGTAGAACCTTAAAGATCGAAAGATTTATTCAAACAATTGAAAAAAAAAAAAATATATATATATATATATATCTAACTGCAGACAGTACTGTTTCGGCCTTCTGGGCCTCATCAGTGCAGTGCTAATGCTAGGATGGGGGAGAACCAATATGGTCACCCCAAACGATCCAACCTTTGTGGTATCGTCTAAGCCATGCCAGAGTGCTCAAACTAGAGTAAACCAGTGAGCATGCGCAATTGCAACGGCAATGACTCATCCTAGATAGAGTGCTCAATTTGGACATGAAAGCAAAGCTTTGTATGCCAAAGAGCTATATATCTGTATATGCATTAAACCTTGTTTTAATTAACTAAGGAAACAAGACCGAATGAAATCCAATTCGCCCTTGAAACATAAGACTGATTAGCAAAATCGGTCGACAGCGAGGCAGAAGTGTGACGTTTTGATTAGGATTCTGATAACAGACGAAATTGAATAACACAAATTCCTGTTGCTTGTAAATAAAAATGACTGTGACAATATTTGACAAACAAAATATATACTCACCAGTTAAATGTATACATAAAAAGAAAAATCACAGCAATTGACTATATTCCACAAGTCTATGCAACAGTGCGCGCAAATGGAGCGCACTGTTCAATCCCGTGACGAATAAACTTTCCAATTACATTGTCCAGTTACGAAGCAACCAGCGTTCAAATGGTGATATTATTACCCTACCACAATCGTAAATGTTGGTATGGTTTTGATTAATAAAGCTACGATAGCTATCCATAACAAAATTAGACTACGATGTTTGGGCAACACAGTTTATTGACTAATAGAACGCGACGCTGACGCAAGAGATTAGCAAACTAAACCAGTAAGGGTGGTGTGGGCGGGAAACCGTTGACTAGCTCTGAAACTCGATGCACCGAAAAAGTTAAGAGTAACTGATCAGGGGCCCGTTTCTCGAAAGTCCCGGTAACTTAACGGGCCCGAAGCCATATTTTAAATTAAAACTTTAAAGGATAGGAAAGCAGGTTGGGACATCCAAACCAGTCCTTTTTGTTTCTTTAGCTGATAGTTTTATTGTATCATTTTCAAAACTTTTGAAATTCCCATCTTGAATGAAATCAGAACAGCTTTACAGGCCATTAAGTTAGCGGGACTTTCGAGAAACGGGCCCCAGGGGGCGTTTTCTTTACGGTAATTACCCATTATCACCCAGAACATAAATTACCTGGCCATTGTTGTATTGTAAAAATTCTCCCCCGTGTACACTGTATTCCAGGGTATAGGACTTAGTCCACCAGCCAGCGTTGTAACGGCCTTGAGTGGCAATCCTGGTCACCTTAGTAACCTTCTGTAAGTCAATCTGCAGGAACTGTTTAGAATCTTTGTATTGGGAAATCCAACCTCCTTGGAAACTTCCTAATAGAAATGACAATTTGCAATGAATATCAAAGAGTCATTAAATCCACTTCATTTAAAAGCAATATAGGCCAATTCTGTTAACAAAGAGAATAAGCTTTATTTAATTTGATGAAGTCAGTCAGAAGCTTGCCGGAGTAAAATCGGTCTCCCACAAAAGTTCCAAGTTCGACCAAAACTAAGAATAAACGGACGAGCTTAATCTGAGGTGACTCCTGAAACATTTTCTACTTTTTTCAGTACGTGAAGTTGGTGATCGAGTGTCAATTATGTAAATGAGTCGTCAAGTAGATACTTTTAAATGATACTTTTAAATGAATTGCTGCAACGTCTGCAGCAATTCATTTAAGTTACGCAATCGCAATAACAGATGGCACATTTTGACAGAGGGAAGAGGGTAAAAGTAATGAACTTATTTGATTAACTATGTAAAGGAGTCAAGAACTGATATATCTATTACAATTTATCTATTCGTAAAAATGAATTGAATTTAGTAGAATATAAAAAAAATCGAGTAATACACAAATGAATCAACTAATCAAATAATCAACCAATCAATTGGCTCAATTCCAATTCAGCGTCTTACGTAATCCGAAAGTGCATGCTTCACTTCGCCCTGTGATTGGTCCAGAAACCGCCTCTCACCACTCTCTCAACCAATCAGATGCCAAACTGAAACCAATCACGATTTAGTCGCGCGCTTTTCCCCGCACTATGGGAAGTTTGGTTGTTCATACTTAGAGTTCTCATTGGCTTTGAAAGGTATTTTCCTTTCTTCCGATCGGCCGTTGTTATTATTATGATTTTGGTTTCACGGCACCTCATCGAAAAGCACTCTCACAAATCGATCAATATTTAACAATTATTCGCCTCAGGTTCGGTGAATATCGTCGAATAATCCCCGAGACGAAGTCAAGGGGATTATTCGACAATATTCACCGAACCTGAGGCGAATAATTGTTTAAGTATAATTTCAGAGCTGAACAACAGAGAAATTTCTAAAATCATAACATTTTAGTAACATTTATTAACATTATATTTTAACATTTTATATAAACCGCGTGGAGCGGTTTATATAGCGTCATATAAGGAACCGCTCGACCAACAGATTGCTGGAAACTCTTTGCTCAGCTTTGAAATTAAACTAAATAGATTTAAAACTATGTAAATCAATAACTGCTCATGATATCATTTAAGACCACGATACCATCATTTGCCTCGTTTAATCTTCCACGCTCAGGTCCCCACCATTGGTTATAGCGCGACGACGCTACAATGGCCGAATCTTCTATGTCACCGCTTTCCATTCCCAAAGGTGATGCACACACTATTTTAGGGATATCAAATCCTATATGAAAAAACAAGGAAAATTAGTATTATCAAGAAAAACACCATCATCTTTAGTAACTAGGATTATTTTGAATTTCTACCCAAAATTAAAAACGTTTTCCTTTTTCTTTATTAAGAATTTTGTTCCAATGTAGCATGCAATATGATTGCTTGGTTAACGAGATGCTCATGGGTAGTGTGGCAGGATCAACGGAATTTCCTTCATGGCGCAATCTTTTTTAGTGAATTTGGGGTAATTTCTTTTAAAAACAGATAATTCGACATTGGATGGAAAAAAACTTACCCGATTTACAGCCATAAAAACCAGCTCTCAAGGCAATATGTCCATGCCAAGTCCGCGGAATAATTCGCACATATCGTGCAATCACTTGTCCTCGCCCCAGAGAATGGCAAACAGGCATAAATTGGTCTGAGTTTCCCTTGAACCCCTGATAAGATACAACAAACGCTTAAAGATTATATTGGCACAAGATCTACCATCTCTAGTCAACGAGAAGTTGTACAGAAATCTAAGTTTACTTAGATGGTGCTTACCGCTAAATATTTGGTAAAGAAGCTTTTCATTAGCTATTTTGTTTTTTAGTTTGATTTTTTTTTTTGCCTAAAGGTGCCATGTACAACGACAGACTTTCATTTCTCAGATTATGAAGGCTGCATTGACTTTGAAATCTCGATCAATATATAAGATGAACCTCTTGCTTCCTAACAGTAAGAACATTTCTTCTTGAGGATATAGAATTTTCATTTTGGCCACCATGATTACGAAAAGTCTTTTCGTCACCAAAACAGGCCACTACCTCGTGGAGAGTTCTGTAAAAGACTCCATCATAACTGAATGCCAGTGAGTAACTAGTCAGCCACTGGGCCGCATCCAGCCTTCCTTGGATGCAGAATGCCATCACCTGCCTCCATCCTCCTAAATTCACTTGAAGCCATTGGTTCTGGTCACTCGTTTTGGCCAGCCAGCTTCCAGAGCCTCCATCATACTGTTGGTAAAGACGACCTTGGCTTGGTTTGTAGTTGGAATTATAATAAGAAGAAGCAGTTATGGCTGAATCAGGGATTCTATTTGGATCTTCCATTCCAAGTCCATCCATGCAGTTAGGAAAAACTGGAGGCCTAAAGCCTTGAAAAGCAAAGAAATCCAAGAGAACAAGGCATAAGTAGTTAAAATCTCACATCCAAGCGTGAAAAAATACGAGCGAGCAAACGTATGAGCACGTGCAAAGACTTCCTCAGGCTTTTATTCCTCAGACTTCCAACTATGCAATATCGCGAATTGAATTAAGTTGAACTTAGAAATTCTCTGAGAAGCTTCAGTGAACTTCGCTAAACACGTACGTCCAAAAGCCTTCTCTTCTGAGAGAACTTCGCGCTCAACTCCACTATCTCATACCAAAAAAAGGAAAATTAACACGAAATATTAATATTCTAGAATACACGATATTTCTAATAGCCACGAATTTCTCAAAAGCACAAGAACGTGCTATGCGCACTAAAATAACACAATAGACACGAACGCACATTGGTTTGAAAAGGGTGTCTATATATTTACCTGAGTCGCAACCAACAAACTCGAGCCTCATTGAAATGTGTCCATACCATTCCACTGGGTGGACACGAAAAACACGGGCGATGATTGGTTCGTCCAGCTCGGTTTCCACGATAGTCAGACGGTCTCTATTGGCATAGTATTCCTAGGAAAAAAAATGACTTAGTATATTCATAAAACATGTGGTGCTTTCTTATCAGATGTTGTTGGGTTGTTGTCAGACATACTGTGTAACTTTTACACTTGTTTTTTTTTTTTTTCATAGAAAGATCATTCCAGCCAATAAACATACCTACAGTTATTTCCAAATGTCCATGATTTTTTCTTTTTACTTAAATAAGTTGGCGCTCAGGGAAAATTTTTGGGTTTAACACTTTCTGCATCAAACCTACATGTAGGAACAACATTTAGACTGAGATTTTCGCCTACGCTTTGTCTATAAACTCATGTCAGTCCGGTGAACCAATGGGATACAAAATGCATTTCAAACAGCGACTTAACCACTCTGGTTTTCTATACCGCTTTCCAGGCCGCTTGCAGAAGCCCGCTTTGAGTGAAAATTACACTTCTCCCGTTATAATTGCTTTCCCTCCAGTTTGCCCTAGTATTTTCTTTGGTTTTGGTTTTGTTAGTTCAAGAAACGCTCATTGTTCCCTGGTAGGCGTCTAGCTTGGGGTATTATTGTTCATATTACCTCAAATTGTTCGGAAAGCGTATCGTGTATTTTTCTCTGCAAACTATTAAATATATTTACCCGCGGAACACTGTAAGGATGGTGAAGTTGAAAACTGAAATATCCTCCATCAAGGCTGTAAGACACCATAAACTTGGTCACCCACTGTGCGGCGTTGTGGCGTCCTTGAGTTAAGATGCTCGTTATTTTGACAATCTTACCAAAATCCACTTGGAACCACTGGCCCTTGTCGTTTCGCTTAGCAATATATGTGCTCTGATGGTTGAGCCTTCCCTTGCTCGCTGCATAGGCAGCGCTCCACTGCAAATATGAAAAAATGTCAATTAATGAATTAGTTGTGTTGAAGCGTGACATGTGTCATTTCGCGCTATTTGACCCTGCGAGACATTGAGTTTTATTTTGATATTGTAGTTCTTTGTAGAATCTGACCTTAGCGACCTTATCGGGTTTTCAATTACTTTCGTCTAATATACATGATAGATTTAGCCAAGCCTAAAAGCGGCGCTCGCATTTTTTTTTTTTCCCACACGTCTCATGGGCACAACGCCTTGCCCCGGCCAGGTCTAGAACCCGAGTCGTCCGACTTGGAGCACAGTGCACTGACCACTGGATTACTGGACCAAGCGGTGGCGTTGGCGTGCCCGCGGTACAGTTGACCACGCATGCTAAAAGTAGCACCTTGTACGGATGCCCGTACGGTCATAGGTCCAAATTTTTTCGGCTTGATGGGTTACTACTACCATTTTGTATATAATTATGGGGTTACGCTCTGCGAGCTCCTCTATTACAAAGAAAAGTTCCATAGCTTTAAAGGAATAATTTTTAACTCGAAATTTCTCAGACTTAAAAAATTCATTGAAACTGACTTAAGATTAGTTGTGACAGTCTTGCAGCTCAATTTTTCTTTATGCAAACGTATAGGAGAGATATGAACTATTTTTTCTTTTTTTTTTTTTGTAGTCGGCTTGCGGTACAACTTTGAATTAATTTTTCCTCTCTGAACCAGTCAAAGGCAAGTATTAACAAGAGAAGTAACATTACGTAATGAAAATATCAATCAAGCTATCAAGTAAAGCCGGAGTGCTTTTGTAAATACCTCACTAGCAGATGATAAAGCAGAGTTTGGAATTTTTCCATCTTCCAATCCCATCTTATCTGTGCATTCTTACGAATTAAAACACCAGAAAGCAAAAGTCAGCATTAGATGAAGTATAGATTTAGATAAAGATAAATTTATTTTTATGATTTCAAAGATATTGGTCGACTTTTAAACTCGTACTTCAAAATCCTTGAGGTATACATCACAACACAAATCAATTTTAACAACTTTTGGGCACGTATGAAATGTAATTGATCTGGGTTTTGATTCTTAAAAAACGGCAAATGGTAACAAAATACAACAAATTAAACCAGGCAGTTTTTAATTACTCATCTGCTTGAATTTTGAATTAGCTTTATACCCAGTAAATAACATGCCCTCATAAGGAATTTTTTCCCTTAATTTCTCTATTAGACAAACTTGGTTGTCTAAGATACCGCATTTATACCCATGCAATTTGTTGAATACACAGTTGAACTGATACTTTATACTTTGGATATATCAACAAAGTTGAAATGGTAAATTGGCCACCGTAACGATTACAAAAGCTGACGTTTCGAGCGTTAGCCCTTCGTTGGAGCTTCCCCTTTCGCTCCGACGAAGGGCTAACGCTCGAAACGTCAGCTTTTATAATCGTTACGGTGGCCAATTTACCATTTCAACTTTGTTGACATATCCAAATTATTTCGTTACCCCCACCGACGCAGCCCCAAACAGTTTCTTTCAAAACTATCAGCCTTTGATAATTTATACTCTTGGAACATACCTCCAGCAGCAAAACCTAGAAAAAAATGGAAAATTATAGTAAATGGACTGATATTTAGTACAATCATTGCCTACTGACTGCATTCACTAATGGTGAATGTCGCAGCCACATGACATACTCCTATCACATAATTGAGATAATCTTTAAAAAGGAAAAAATAAAGATTAATTAAAAGATTCCTAAGTATTTGAAGGAAGGAAATTTTGTGGCATTTTATTACGGATCAAAAAAATCCGCCAAGTTCAAAACGACATAAAAATAAAACTATTTTAAACGGTTCATATTAAACCAACTCGAGAAAAACTTTTAGCCTAACTGATTAAAATCGGTTTTTAAAGAAATAAAAGATATACAAAGGGCTTTTCAAGACTTCTATAAAATATAATGTCATACATTTAAAGAGTTTTGAGAGACTTTGAAACGATATTATGGCGATTTTAAGTGATATTTGTTTGGCACCCGTGAGTCAAGTGAGACCCTCTTAAAGTCTCGTCCCAATTAAAATTCATTGACATTAGAGCATAGGCGGAATAAACAACCATTTCAATTGAAACTGAACGCAGCCTGAGCACAAAACAAGGAACCTTAAAAGTTCTGACTTAAACGAAAGTTACCGTGATGATTCGATCTAGCGCCCGAGGCGCTTATTTAAATATGGTATCTTAAGGCACCTTAAGGGACAGGGAGGGCGCCAATTCGAAACAGGGCATTAGTGCATGTACTAATTAAGGATAGGGCGAAATTTTTATTTCATTTTATTTTATTTTATTTTATTTTTATTTTTTTTTTTTTGAGAAACAGTAGAGTGAGCGAAACTAAGCTTTGGTGTTTATTCAAAAAGGATCAAGAAGATTGGAAAACGAACTTGTTGGATCATTCCTGGTTAGAATGAACAGCAAAGCAATCGTCTCAAAATTATAAGACAGGATCTTTCGTTTGAAGGAACTGTGCACTCACGTGGAGAGACTGATGCGGAGATCGCTGTCTCTGTACTTTTTTTTTGTTTTTTTTGTGAGAAACAGTAGAGTGAGTGAAACTAAGCTTTGGTGCTTATTCAAAAAGGATCAAGAAGATTAGAGAACGGACTTGTTGGATCCTGGTTGGAATGAACAGCCAAGAAATCGTCTCAAAATATTAAGACGGGATCTTTCGTTTGAAGGAACTGTGCACTCACGGGGACAAAAAGTTAAGAGACTGACGCGGAGATCGCTGTTTCTGTACTGAGGTTTTAAGTGAGCAGTTAAAGAGATATGAACCACGGTTGATCTCAATGTACGCTTACTCTAACAGTGTTAACAATGAAAGAGAATTAACTGAGGCGTTTATTGAAATAGAGGCGCTTATTAGAATAGGGGTGCAGATCAACAAATTATTGGAACGAGGGCCCTAAATCGAATAATTACAGTATTTGTAGTTTTGTTATGAGGCAGGTATGTAAAATAAAAGCTTAGTCGAAGAACTCAGGGAGACAAAAGTAACGGTTATCTGCCAGCTCCGTCTACCGGCCTCGACCAATCGTCAAGTCATCTCAGGAATTTTCATTTCTTGTTCTAGAACCAATGGGGGCTTACAGAATTCTAAGTTAACCAAACGGTAAATCAGTTGTGGTTTTAACGACTTTAGAATTGCCAGTTTTTTTCTTCACAAAGGTACAATTTGATATCATAATAACAATTGTGCTGAAACTGAGCATGAAAAGTACTAAATGAGCTACATTTCACCCTTAAAAAGACTAAAAACATTAGGTTAGAAAGATTGAACGCAGATCACCATGGGTAGATCAGGTTTTCGGACTAAGTCAACGAAAGACGTGGTCCTATAATGTAGAAACAGTCTCGATAAAACAAGAAGGAGGTGAAGCTTCATGACTGCCCCGAGAATAAAGTCATTTTAACTCCGTCTGACTCTTTTTAATGAGTTTTGATGAAGGAAGTAGAGATTCTAGGTAGCCACCGAATCATGCCATTATCATTATTAGTTTATTTGATAGATGATGAATTATAACTAATTTTATCTGTCACTCCCAGAAGACAGGGAAGCTGCCTCCCATCACATGAGAATAAATATCTATGACTTACCAACTTCAAGAAATAATCTGAACAAGAGTAAAAGTTTTACTCCAACACCCATTTTGACTTCACCACGAAAATTAACGGCTATGTTCTTCCCAAGAAAAACTATATGGTATTTTAGCCCAACGTGTACTGGAAGAAAATGGAACAACAACTTAAAGAACAACCGATAAAATTCACGGATTAGGTTTAGACGTGTCACTTTCGGTTGAACGAGCCAATCAGAGTCCACAAAAAAAAGTCGAATTGTAATCGTTTACGACTAAAAGTGTTTTAAGCCCCCATATATTTTGTCATGGTATCAGGGTTGTTGATTAAACAAAAAACAATATCTGTTTTCCTTTTTAGGGTTTGTTTACACAATTCCGCTGTGTTTAAATTCATTATTTCTTAATTTGAACATCGGCCACCGTAAAAAAAATTAAATCAAGAATACAAAGGTGTTACTAAAATATAATTACCACAACTGTAATTCGGAACTTAAATTTTACAATTACACATTGTCTGAGAAAAATTCAACGGAATTTCAGAGCAATATTCTCAAATCAAATTGTAACTGCAACCATGTGTCATTTCTCATGCATCTACACGTTCAAATATTTTTGTTTATATTGCTACGTAACTATTTGGTTCTCATGCGCAATTTAGAAATGATAGGAGTATCATAAATCTTCTGAAGTAACGTTGGCTTCTTCTGTAGGAGTAACGAGAAGTATTTGTAGTAAAAAAAAAAATACAACTAAACTTCGATGAGGCACCGTCATTCGCTGGACTCTGTTATGTAATTAGCTCGCTCTCATGCAGGGCTCCAGATGTTTCCGAAGGGCCGTTTATACTAAACAGAAACATTGATTAATATCTTTACCCTTAACAAACCTATTTTTCCCTTACTTTTAACATTTAAAACACAGTTAGGGTGTTTACCCTTGGTGTAAAGGAAATTTTAGTACTTCCCACAGTTAAACTGTGTTACAGACCCCTCAATAGGTAAAATAACATACGGATCATAAATACAAGTGCTGTTCCAGTTATGATCGCAATTAATAATGTTCATTTACTTTGTTTTGAAGGACAACGAAAAAGCTAATGAGAGGTAACTTTTGCCCCCCCAGATTATGATAATGTAAAACTTTGTTTTTTATTTTATTTTTTTACATGAAAAGCGATGGTTTTTTTTTTGACACGTTCACTTCCTTTAAGTTACAACTAAGTCTTCGTCCCTTTTCCGTTTTGTTACTGCTAAGCTTTCAACGATGAAGAACCATTGATAAAAAGGAATAAAGGCTGATAGTTTCGAAAGAAACTGTTTGGGGCTGCGTCGGTGGGAGTAACGAAATAATTTGGATATATCAACAAAGTTGAAATAGTAAATTGGCCACCGTAACGATTACAAAAGCTGAAGTTTCGAGCGACGATGAAGGGCTAACGCTCGAAACGTCAGCTTTTGTAATCGTTGCGGTGGCCAATATACCATTTCAACTTTGTTGATATATCCAGAAAAAAGAATACAGTAGTTCAAGGCCTTAATCGAATCGTCAATTTAATCGTTTATTCATACAGTTGAAATGAGCTCAATGTGCCTGAATCTGCTTTCCTTTTCCTTTTCCTTAACGGTGCATCAAATTGGCTGTCTACGTCAAGAGTTCATAAAACTACAACTGTTTGGTGGTCGGATCACGCTCAGGCTACAGAAAATATGGCTGGAGAAAACTTAGCCACTGCAAACTTAATGGTTAGCTAAGCAGTAAACGCTGTATTTACTTTACATGCGACAATTGTCTGTATATTGCTAAATAAGCATCATCAAAAGCTCCCTGTGTAGAGTGAAATTCTAAGATATGTTAAGGAGCGTGAATTACAAATTCATCATGTCTTAGGTTTTTTGCCGACATAACGCGCGCTCTGATTTGCTAAGAGTGAGATCAAAGCAGGGTATTACGCTCTCGTAATGACCGTGGGGATCCATGGGCTGATTATGTATTTTGAAAAAAGGGCAGAAAGTTCACTCAAGAATCGCAGCTTCCTCGTTGAGGGAAAACTTTCAGTGATATGATAACAACGTAATTTTTCGTCGATAGATATGAGAAGGTAAAAGATTTTCACTTACCAGCTGTTAACTTTCAATAATGTCAGCAGAAAATTACATTTTGGAAAAAAGAAAGAGCACAAAAGTTCATTCGGGAATCGCGGCTTCCTCGTTGAGGAAAACTGTCAGTGATATGATAACAAAGTAATTTGTCCTCGATAGATATGGGGAGGTAAAAGATTTTCACTTACCAGCTGTTAACTTTCAATGTTGTCCGCAGAAAATTTGTAATACGACCGTAATTTCCGACGATGAGGTTCAGACGGCAAATCCTCCTTCAAAAATACATTCAACAATTTTATGAGTAATAAGTTTCGAGTTCTCCGATAAATAAAAATGCTTAGCGGCAACTCGATAAAATAAGTTGACCAATTGGTTGCCTGATTCAGTGGAGTCACCTAAAAACGAAAGATTAAGTTTCGCCTTATATAGTGCAGCAGTTCACTTCAATAAATTCCCCCACCGACAACGCAAACAAATTACTGAATCAGCTTTCCGGAATATCGGATTTTAACAGGCGCACGTTTTTTTCCCACAGAAGTATTTCTCGTTACGACCAACTTTAGATCTTTAACTGGCTTCTAAAGTTTATTATCTATCTCCAAACAGTGGAAGATTTGTTGTCCAAGGGGATGGCGAAAAATGATATACTGAGTAATAGATTCCATAGTGTTTGCATTTTCATTCACCATGAGACGTCGACCTTACCGTGGAACTGCACTGTCTTTCTGTATGCACTGATGTTTCCCATGACGTGCGTGAACAACTGTAATTTCCAAATAAAACTTGACAAATTTACACAGTTTCAAAACGCACGTGCTAAACTATTGTTCTGCCGATTAGATCTTTTGTTTTGCCATGTCCTCGTTACCAGGGGTCCAGTCGCCGTCGTGGTTCGCTTAAGGTCCCTCTGACTTGCTCCTAATAGTATCTTATAATGACTTTTAGTGGCAATTTTAAACTCAATTATTTTTCTAATCAAAGGGGGCAAGTTTCTAAAGAAACTGTGGTGCTGCGTCGGTGGGGAGGTATAACAAGGTAATTTTTGTTTTATCTACTGAGTTCATAGTGTAAGTTGGCCACCGTAAAGACTAAAAGCTGACGTTTCGAGCGTTGGCCCTTCGTCAATGCGAAATTTCTGATTAGTTTGGTAACTAGTACTTCCTACAAGAACCCTTCATCTCTCTTTAGGATTGTGGTGTAGGTCCCTAAGATGTTTATGCAAACGATCGTCATCTCAACGTCTTCCGCTTGGAAGCTGTGAAAACTTTAATCCCGTACTCTTTACAGGCTAAGTACCATACGCGAAAACAACGAACAATTCTTGAACACGTGACATTAGAACTCGACGAAAACTTGGCGAACCACCATAAGCACGTTTCATCTCTCTCGCGGGGAGGGCGGGGGGTCTCGTACTCCAAAGATACATGGGAAAAATCTCTGACACTCCCCCCGTTGACCAGTTGCGCAAACGGTCAACCAACCTAATTCAAAACCTAAAGACAAAGAGGCTATGTCCTCCATTTCTAAGGCAATTACTCTAAACTTAAAACAAATGTCCATTGTTCTCAAAGTTCAATGTTTTTGAGAGTTCACTGTTCTCAGAACTTAAGAAACATTCAACGTTCCCCCTTGAAGGTTCTCTGTTCTTAGAGCTTAAAAATCAATGTTCCTAAAGCAGCTTATTTTCCATGAGCGCTCTCCTTTCTCTGTCTGCTTTGTGTGCTGCTTCTCGTCTGGGCCGCTCCGCTGCGTCCTCAGCTCAATTTAGCACATCTGGGATGTCTGCTATGTCTGCTGCTCCCTGGCTGGACCGCACCTCTGCATGCTCAGTTCCTGTAGGCACATCCGGGATGTCTACTGTCGAGTCCCCTTGTGAACGAGTCCCAAATTCCAATGGATGCAGCTTTTGTGGTAGGCGTCTCAACCGTTTGGGGTTCCCTTTCTTGGGTGTGGTTGTATTGACAACCGCTCCACGGACAAGCCCATCCTTGCCTTTGATCAGGCTTTCTACTCGGCCAAGCCTCCAAAGTCCTCAATGCAGCCCATCTTCATGAACAATAACATAACGATATCCCCGACAGCAACCGTTTGACCTTTTGTATCCTTCATTTTGAGCCGATCCGAACTTCTTTGTTCAAGAAGATATTTCTTACCCCATCGAACCCAGAAGTGATCCTCCAGTCTCTCAAGCAAGGCTACTCTCTCTCTAGCTTCTTCAGCATTCAGTTAGCTGATTTCAATTCTTCCTGGTCCGGCATAGCCAATAAACGTCTCCCTCACAATAAATAGTAAGGGGTCAGGGGCTCTTCGATTTCCCCACTGGATACAAATGTGAGAGGCCTAGAATTAAGTGTTGCCTCTATTTCTACAAGTACTGTTTGGAGTTCATCACTAGTGACCTTTGAATTCTTTAGTATCTTCTTCAGGCACCTCTTCACACTCTGCACTAATCGTTCAAAGTAACCACCCCACCATGGGGCCCTTTCAAGATTGAATGTCCACTTAACTCCTTTATTGGCAAGGTGTCTTCTTACTGCAGGTGAATTGAACAGGGCTCTTAACATCTTGGAGGCAGACACAAAGGTCCTCCCATTGTCCGAATTCAATTCGCGGGGCAGTCCACGACGAATAGCAAATCGACGAAAGTTTCGGATAAAGGCCTTTGCTGTCAAATTAGGAACAGTGTCAAGGTGTACAGTTCTGGAGACTGCACAAGTGTATACTGAGACGTAAGT